CAACTGGATTTAGCTCTGTTCACTACCACCCTCTGGACATGGCCAGTCAGCCCGTTTTCCACCCAGCGAAGGGTATTCCTTTCCAGGCCATGAGCTGCCAGTTTCTCCAGGAGAATGCCATGGAAGACAGTGTCAGTGACTGGACACAGAATCATACTCCTTCAGTGGTAACATACCACAGCATGGGCCTTGAGATGAGAAAATTTCACTAAAGGGCTAGTTTAGAAAAGTTAACTTTACCCCTTTTATGACAAAAATTTCCTGGAAATACATTTCTACTGTAAGAAAAATTGATTGGGGGAAGGAAAAAAAAACCAAAGTGAGTCAGCAAGAGGTATGCACCATCTACCTCATTTTGTATTTCTGTAGTTGCCCTGGGCTATGACATTTTCCCCCCACACTCCAAGACAGGGCTGCACCTCACACCCCATAACATCAGAATGCTCCCTGGCAATAGCAGCTCCAGATGCCCCTCTAAAGTTGTTCCTTATGGTGTAATTTATTTTTCTTCTGAGTAAATCACTCAGGTTGTAGCAGTGAATGGGACTTTTCAGGATCTATCCATTGTCTTGCCTCATCCCTGCTGTAAACATCTAGACAGCAAAGAGTCATTTATGACCCTAGAGGAAGGAACAGGAGACGGAAAGTTCAGGAGCAAGCAATTATTTTACTTGTATCACCAATGGTACCTCCAACGAATAGAAGGGAAATCAGAGTAAACACTCCATCTAAATGTCCTGTGAATGGCATATACACAGTTGGAACTATTAAGATCTAATTAATTTCTTTTTATTTATTTCATTTAGACAAGATGCAACAGATTGGGGTGGCTAGTATGCAAAGGGAATGGTTATTGCCTGATTGGCTTAGTGAGGCTTAGTAAGTGATGCAGGATAGTGCCTCAATTTACCAAAACCTAAAGAGGATTCAAGATCTGACTATTGCATAATAGTGCCAAGTAATTTAATATCATTCATGTAATTTGGTGGTGACACTCAATTTAAAAGTCAGTATTATAAGTTACAAAGCTAGATTTTGGATCCCTCGGCTCATACTTAGCAACACTGCTTTGCACAGAAGAAATTACCACTGGGCTCATTGATTCTGACTTTCTTTCCTATGGCATAAGGGCATCAGAATCCTGTGTTTACTGGAAAGACTCAGAGAAGTTTTTACTGTGTTTACTGAAAAGACATCTGGAAATATACACACTAGGAGATAAGATCCCTCTGTATGTCCTCTGAGCACTCAGAAATCAGAGCCCAAAGCTTCTAGATGCAGTTTCTGCAACTATATTCTGATTACAGCTGGAACTACAACCTGGTCAGACAAACAGGCTAGGCTCAATTCCCAGTAGCCTCAGTTCTCTCTGTTGTGTACTTTTAGCAAATTAATTAGGTGGTACTGTTCTTCTTGAGAGTTTTATTTTGTTTTAACAGTTAAAACCAGATGGATTTTTATTGCCAACATGCTGATTCTCTCAAATGCAGTATTCTAATCTGACAAAGACAAGGCATGGAAAGTGTAGAGGAAAAAAGCCAATAAAGAGATGAAGAGTACCCTGGTCAGAGTTGTTATTGTTACTCATGGAAAATATAATTAAAGGGATGGATCAGACATACAATAAATCCAGTCCTCTGGAAACATTAGTTGAATCATTAGAAAATATTCACAACAACCCTCTCTGATTTCTGATCCACAGCTTTCCCACTGTTTCAGTACATCCTGGCCAATGGCAGTACAGCTCGTTTCAGACGTCCATACATCATACCTTAAGTGGCAAAACACAAGGGAGTTTAGTAAGGAAGGTCTGAAACTGATTACTAATCGTCGTCCAGAGGTTGCTGGGTGAATCCATCGGCAAGGCTTCCATAAAGGTAGCAATATTTTCCAAACAGCGTAGCATTGCACCCCCTGTCGGTAAATTCTTTTTGTTGTTTAAACCCTGGGAAACAAAATGAGAACTGTAAACAAATGTACACATGCAGAAACGGTCCCTTACACAGTATTTGGAAATGCTGAAGTTAATTTGTTCAAACCAAATACTACTTATCTCTTCTATAATGCTTCAATGATAAAATGTTGTGCAGGGAATTTGAACTGTGTATGTGACAGTTAAGTCTAGTTCAGTTCCTAAAGTATTGACCAAAAGATTTTGAGCCAAAATGTTATAAGCAGGGTCCTAACTCATAACCTCCTTAGACTGGCATGGCAGTGAAAAAAGCAGAACTCAAAGTATTTACCAGTGGATTGCCCATGTTTTCCTTTGGACAGTTTTAAACAAGTTATGTTCATTAATGTTCAGTAGACCATGTAAAATTTTTTGACTTGTGTACTAGGGCCAGGCCAGGAAAGACATAAGCAGCTTTAAAGTGATGTCAAAATCTTTGTATGAAGCAACTGCCATGTTCTTGGAAGAGCAGGATACATGTAAGTGACTAGTGCTAGCAGGAGGATAAAAGTTACAGTAGAAATAAGCCAAGCACACAGAAGGCAGTCAGAGAAAGGCAGGCAATAAATCTTTGGACTACTTAGAGAAACTGCCATCAGATACAGTGGAGAGGGAGAACTGAGATGTACAAGCAGCAATGCTCCTGAAAAACAGAAACAGTGCTGGGGGAAGTGATGGTCTACACTACCAATGTGTAAGACAGCTCCAGAGCTGGTCTGAGGGGGAAAAAAAAAGCCACAAAAAACTACCAGTGAGAGCAAAATCCAGAAGAAAAATGGTGAGGAGAGCCTAATCCTGTTTCCAGGGAGGACAAAACAAAAATTCACATTGCTTTTGGTGATGTAAATTTGAACTCTTAATGAATGAGAAGAAATGATCCAATATGCCTGCTAATGTTAATAAAACTAGCACCATTAACAGAGCCGATTGCCAAAATACCTCTAACAGCTGGCTCAGAGCAGCAACGGAACTCAGCTCACTGAAGTCCATAAGAGATGTGGCCAAGGTCCGTAAAAAACTTCCATCTGAAATTCAAATGACATTTTTGCATTGGCTGTCCACACAGAGGTAACTGAAAGGGTCAGAAATGCCTGCAGGTATTCCACATTACCTTTAATATTGCTCTGAAAGAGCTGGGGGAAGATGCCATTGGGAGCCAGCTGATGGAACACACAACGGAGGAACTGCTTGGCCACACCTGCAGCATTTCCAGGGATCATCATGCTGAAATGGAGGGAAGGAGAAGGAAAAGGAAGAAGAAAGAAATTGCATTGCAGATTAAACACTTCTCAAAGCTGTCTATGTGGAGAAAATAAAGATGATCCCATTCTTATTAATTATGGAAGTGTTCAGTTATGAGTGAGACAGTCAAAAGCAGAACTGTCCTGTTCTGCAGTTCAGAACTGTACTGTCAACAGTTCATCATGTTGATTTTATGACTTCAGATCAGCTATGCAGACCTGAAAAAGTTATGTACACATACCTAAGGCATTTAAGTCTCAATAAATAGTTGCATTTTTCCTGATTCTCATAGGTTTATTTGTGAGTCATCCGAGTTTGAACTATAATACTGCTCTCACCTTGTGTATTTCAGTGATACAGGATGATGTTCTTGGCTTTACCATAAAACATGTGAGCAACAGGTAAACAAACCATTATAATATTAGTTTGCCTCTTGCAGTTCCCTTCAAGAGATGAAGTACTTCCTAATCACTCATATAATGAATGGTTTCATTTAAAAAGATAAAGTATTGTCTATTTACTCATAAACTGCACATCTTAACATGTTTTACAGCTTCTCAAAATGAATTCATACTATTCAGCATCTGATTTACATAATGAGAGATTGCTACCTGGGGTTCTCCATGGCCAAGGATGATTCATTTGATTGAATGTATGGAGATAGTTTATCAAGACAAATACTGAACACAGAACAAGCTAGAAAAAGCTGCACTGAAACTGTGAAAACCAGAAGGCATCTTTAAATTATGTCTGAATCTGAGTTTTTTCAAGTTCAATACATATGAATACAGGTTTCTGTTCATCTTCAGAACACACAAGATACTTGAAACAAGTGGGAAAGGATAGGTTTTTCCTCTTACTCACAAACCTTAAATTAATTTTTTAAAAGTTAAACTTAGTTGATTTCAGGCCAGGAAGGATGATGCTTTAGATTAATTTTTTCATTTTGGCCAAGGTATCTTTTGCTACCATACCTTTCTGCTTGATTAGAAAAACTGGTACTTGATGCCAACCTGGAATAAAAATAAAAAAATAAGTGAAGCTCATATGGTTTTTTTGTGTTTCATTTTTAAGCAAGCCAATTAAGTTTGGGGTTTTTTTTAAATAATAAACAAGAATTTTAGAGAACATTTAAAATGTCAACAGAAAGGTCTTCTGAAGAGCACATAGATTCGGTCAATTCATGTTTGCATGACATATAAACTCCATTCAGACTTGCAGTCTCAGAAATACCTCTGAAGACAAATCTACTTGCCTCCCTGTATTAGCATGAAGATAATGAAGTAAAGCTATTGCCTTACACGCACATCATGGATAACAACTAACCTAGAGGGACTGGAGAAAAAAAAGTTTGCCAGAAGCTGCCTACTGACTGAATTGCTTCTGATTAGCACAGCAAGATAGACTAAGCCAAAATTCTCCACTTTGCAGTCTGAGGTGAGGCTTCTAGTTCCAGATTTTGGCACCTAAATAACCAGCCTGATTTCAGAAACACTAAGTACCTATGAGCTCTTACAAAGTTAGATGAGAAATACTGGGTTCTCAAAAATCAGGTAATTTATTTTAGTACCTAAATATAGACTTTAAAGCCAACTATGGGCATTCAGTGATGAAAATATTGAACACAATCTTGAAGCAAAATCATGCACTTCAATATCCAGAACATGTAAACGAATAGAATTGGGGCTTCCAATATCAAAGCAACACAATACTAAAAGCCACTAAAAAGCAATTATAAGGATGTACATCAGAAGCATCTCTTACATACAAAATACCATGCAACTTTTACTTTCATCTGCTGCACATCAGTATTTCAGCTGGTATAAGTTGATATGTCTAAATGGAAAGTTCATAGAGCTACACTAATTTACAACTGCTGATGATCTGGCCTTCAATGTTTATCTTTGATTCACGACCCTTTTAGGCTGGATTTAGCTGTTGCTCAATCCTGTGTCAGCCTCTATTCTGAAGATAGTTTCCTCTCTAGTCACCACTGCAAAATCCAAAAAGGATCCTAAGGCAGCTCAGTTGAAGGCATTACTGTAAACCAAAATGGATGGTGATTTTCACTAATGATGCATGACAAGCTGGGGACACAGCATACTTTCAACAGTGCAATAATCTCAAACTGGATGGTGCAGGGGATTGAAGATTATATTCTTTTCAGTCGTCCCAGCATTAGAGTCCCTAACTCCACTGCTGTTAAGAGGAGTCCACACTAAAATACAACATATTAATCCTGGTGTGCAAAGCCAATTCTGGGTGAAAATAGGTCTGAGGCTACCTTCAAGCAATACAGACCTTGAATCTGGAACAACTGTAGCATCTGCTTACATTATAGCACATGAGGATTTCTGCAGAATGCAATGAGACTAATCACATGCCCAATGCACATTACATTTATTTTCAAAAATCTACTAAAGCATACAAATGTAACAGTATAAAATATTTCTTCTAAGAGAAATCAAGAAGTCCCATGCAAAGTTTTTCTCTCCTTTCGAATGCAATAATGCAAGTGTGGGTTTTATGATTAAAAAAATTTGGTTTCTAACTTTGGAAAAACTTCATGAGACATGAACTACACTAAACACTTGAGAACATCAGAAACGTTTTCAAATTTACAGCTTGTATGTATTTATCATTACTACTCTAAGCATTTTGTTGCACAAAGGCCATGAACCCCCATTATTACCTCCACTTTGCAGACCACAAAGCAGAACAGTAGACAGTAAATGGGTGCGTTCAAATTTGTACATGTTAAGAACAGAAGTTAAGCTTTTCAAAGTTTCTCAATAATTCAAGAGCCTAAATGCCATTTTCAAACAGGGTTTTGATGATTGGAAAGCTAAATCTCGATGGAAATCAATGAAATAAGAATCAACAAGCCAAACATCTTGATTCAGGAACTAGAGCATAAAGTTAAGTACATGCCAGAGTCTTATAAACATGTCAATCTCTAACCATCAGTAACTTGAACCCAGAACTTTTTCTCTTCTGAAAATCCCAAGAGATGCCTATCTGTACCTGTGGGTACCCAAACAACTTTTGAAAATCTGTGTACTGTCTAGGTATTCCGAAAGACCCTGGATTCCCTAACTCCTTGTTTCCTCTTCTAAGCATGAAAGTAGTAGTTCTTTTCTAAGAATAAAAATGCAAGAAGTCTAATTCATTCTCACTTCTGTTGTCAGATGGGTATTTGGAGGTAATGATACAGTATTGCTTGATGAAAGACAGCAATTTAGGTTATATATGTGAAGCACCTGAATGACCCTCTGCTTGTATATGCTACTTATTTTGCATATATTCAAAATAATTCTTTTGTGGGCAGCCTCTTATTGGACTTAGAATTTGTCAGAAACAACAGCCAGTAGAAAGAACACGGGACATTTCTCAGAAATACCCCATGTTGTATGCCATCTGCTGCTCTAAAACAATCCGCTGTCTCACTCCAAAGATGCATCATTTCTTTCTCAAAGCACACAAAAAGGTAGCCCACTCGGTCTTCGTCCCTTGATAATTTATATTCCAAATTATTTACTCTCTGTGGCTGTAGTACTGATGTATTTACAAGAATCACACAGAATGGATAGCATCTGTCTAGATTAGAAACTTTGCCTCCATCACAGTTCATTAGCACTGACAGCAGGGAACTGCAGCCTTGCAATTAATGGAAATGGAGGACCTGAATAGCTGCTTTGTTTAAATGGAATTGGGATGTTGTGGAGAGGCAGGGCTGTGAAGAGCCATGTCCCTGCAGAAGTCACAGTCAAGCAATTTTAACTTCCATCACTGAAAAGAACATGGAAAAGGAAAGCTGTGCATCATTTCTGCACTTCTAGTGCTGCTCAGAAGTTTATTCCGAAACATCCTCAACGCATCCCTCCCACCTCTCACGCAGGAAGTTGCGGAGGTGGCCAAGGCAGCAATGACAAGTAAAGCAATAGTAATGGTGCACTTCAATTATCCATGCACACTGGGTAAAAGTCACAAGAGAAAAATAATAGACACCAAATGTTTAAGACCTTACCAGAGACAATCTCATGCAGCAGCTGGTTAGGAAGCCCTCATAAGGAGATGAAACTCTTTACTTAGTCTTAATTAGCATAAAAAATATGGTTGAAAAGCCTGAAGAGCTTCAGGTATGCTAATGAATGACCATACCTAGGAGTCAACAGTCCTCCAGGAGCAACAAAGTTCAGAAAAGCTGATCACATTTGTGCATAACTTCTAAAGCAGGAACTACATAAAAGTGAAAAATTCTGTCAAAGCAGCAAAAAGGGGTAGCCAAGAGAATAAGCACAGAAGCTGTTCAAGAACATTACATTGGAAGCACATGGCCAAGGCATCCCACTTGTCAAGAAAGACCTCAAGAGAGCAGAAGAAAGGAAAGGTGAGGAAAGTTATTAGAAAAAAGAATGCTTCTTTCAAAAAGCTGAAGTCACGTCTCAAATGAAAGCAGAAAAGAGCATAAATTCTGACAAATCCAATGTAAAACTACACGAAGGCAGGCCAAAAAACAGTTCAAGGAGCAACTAGCAGAAGAAATAAAAACTAACAGTAAATTTTTCCTCAAATAAAATGGGACCAAGAAACTCACCAATTGTTGCATCAATTGCTGTTCAGGTAATAAACAGGGCACTCAAGGAAGATAAGGGTACTGCAGAAAAACTGAATTAACTCTTTACATCACTGCTTACAGTGGGACAAGCTGGGGAGATTCCTGAGTTGGAACCTCCCTTTGGAGGGTAAAAGGGGAGGACATCAAAGGAGCTGCCCAAAATTGAAATGACAGTGGAAGAAGTTACATAAGAAATTGTTACTCATCATTTTATCAAAGACACAGACAGAACCAGATGTTATTCATTTAAGAGTTCTAAAATATATAACTTCATATAGTGAAGTTTATGTAAACCCAACTCCAGGCACAAAATTCTTTCAATCAAATGGGAGAGAGGAAAGTCCTGATTTTACCTTCCTACAGACTGCATGATGTCTAACAGCAGAGGAGCAGCCAAGTCTGGACTAAGATGAATGAATGTTGAGAGCACAACTATGGCCAGGCCTAGTGTTTCTTCATCATATTCTTCGAGAATAGCCCCACAGTCATGGCACCTGCAAAGAACAGATTTAAAAACTGACATTAACAAATTTAAAACAAAGTAATTACTATATATACATATGTGAATAATTATGTATTTTTAAAGTACTATTATGTAGTACACTCTATTTGAAATTTATTTAGAAAGATAATGTAACTGTGATCTTTCTATAATTAATAACAGTCCATGGCTTTCAAACATTAATAAAGCTTCTCACTAGCTGCACTATTTCTTCACTGACAAATGAGGGCCACAGGGCAGGCCTTGTTTTGGGTCCTTCATTGGTAATTGTTAACCAATTCCCTCACTACATTGGACTGCTTCAGTTTGCACTATCCAAGAGAAATCTGCAGCAGTGAAGACTAGCCCTCAGCAATGTGGACACCAGCCAGTTCATGCAACTTGGACCCAGGCGAGGGCTCAAGTCCCTGGCACTCTTCTATTTAGCAGCATAGACACAAACAATGACACTCATAGATGATCTTAAAGAGATGGAACAATTTCACATTGTCCTTCCTGTCAGTCATGAATTATGAATAACCAATTATACAATTAGGAAACAATGATCTGATTGGTTCCCACAGGAGTTATAGCTATTAAGAAAGAAATGAAAGGACCTCTCAGGGGCACAGAACCTTAGATTTCAGAGAGCTCTCCTTTCCCAGGGCAGATTTGCTGCTGAGTCACTTATCCTTCCTGAAATGCTCAAAGACAACTGATGAAGTTCTGAAAGGGCTCTGTAATGTCTAATTATAAAGGGCATGTCAGATTGAGGAGAGATAAGACAGCCTTTCACAACCTACAGAAAGACAAACCAATGTGGAAAACTGGCTTATCTCAACCCAGTAGGAAGGCTTGCTTAATTTGATCAATCAGTTGCTAATGACTCCAACAAATTGTGATATTTTAACTTAATGGAATTGTACAGGCAATTTTCTTGCCTTTGTTACTGAGCAGAAAGAAAATACGCCAACAAAGTCACAGAAATCAAGCTCAGCTGGTCTGTATGTTAATAGGTGGTGCTAGAGCTTTGCTAAAATGGCCAAAGGAAGTGCCAAAGATAAGCCTAACCTTTGCGATGCTTCAGTTTGTCACACAATAAGGTCCACTTCCAGTCACAGTCTGCACAATGGCCCTGTCTTTCTCCAGTGATCATCCTGGCATGTCTGTCTACTGCACTGAGTGCAGGAGCACAGGGAAGAACTTCCGGTTTCTCTTCCCAATTTTTCACCAAATCAATGCATGGCTCCTGGCTGACTGCTTTACTTCTCCATTAAATAAGTACACTTATGTTCAACACTTCCTTTAGAGGCATTTTAACCAACTAATTAAGGTTTGCAAAAGCTTTCAGGATCAGTGACTATCAGCATCAAAAATGCTACGTTGATTTCACATGATTACACATTAACAGTTACCTATTTCAACAGAAACTCAAAGGAATTTTTAAAAAGAGCTTTTTGGTTTTTATCTAAAACAAAAGTGGTTTCTGAAGGATCACAAGGAACCCTTGATTTAAAATAGGATGGAAAGTGCTTCCGCTGCCCTCCGTGCACACACAACAGCCTGAGTCATCATTTTGCCTGTGCAAACTCACACAGGTCCTACCGAATTAAAAGCACATCTTGCTGGCAGTGTTTAGAAGATGTTTACCTTGGGGTAAAAAAATTTATTAAAGAAATTAGCATAGAGATAAATGATAGAATGGACTTAATGTTTCCATAAAATATATCTATACTTTACTTGACCTATTTGAAGTTCAACTAGTTCTTTGAAAGGAATAGGAACAGAACTTACTTGTCAGTCATCACAATGGGCTGGTCATCAGCAAATTCTTCTGGTGCAGGTACAAACATACTGACTATACTGGGTGCTGACAGCAAGCTAGATTTTGTGGCACCTTAAGGCAATTAGAGGAAAAAAATTAAAAAAAAAAAAAAAGAAAGAAAATCACTAAACAGAAATCCAAACTGCTTGAAGAGCAGACTTCTAATAAAGAGCCATAAGGGTTTTACTGTGCATAGAAATAAGAAATAAAATGTGTCTACAAAAGGATACATAGCACATTCCTTGTTTCTGCCAGATTATTCCAATTACCTAGAACTACCAAATTAAAAAAAAAAAAAAAAAAAAAAAATTCTTGGGGGGAAAATAGATAACAAAGAACAAAAATTCCAGGAAGGCAGATGTGTCTTTTTTAGGGAGAGGGGATGATTCTACAGTTGCTATGATACTGGACACCAGAAGATTTGCAGTTTTCCCCGTATTTCTAAGGAATTACCTTCCCATAGTTCTCGGTGACATGAAAAAGAAAATAAATTCATATGTCTCAACACCAGGTCATCAATCTATTCATACCATCCCTAACAGAGACATAGGAGAGAAATGAGGAAAGGACAGCTAGAAGAAATAATTCATATGGAGTTGAGAAACACTGAGAACATTGGAGCGCTGATGATTAGAAATGCTTTCCGTTGAAAGTCTTCACAAACGTCTTTATTTTCCAAAGCTGAGTTGTTCAGCTGGGGGCATAGCCATTGTGATCATGCCAACATACGGGGTTCCCTTTGCCTTTGCCACTTTTTGTGCACCTAATTTCTGATAGATGCTTGTTTTAATCGGAAAAGTTATATGTAATGGAAGATTGAAACTCTCATCTTCTCTGAGTTCTGGTTTCCAGAATTATAGCAATATAGAGCAGTCCGACAGTCTAACATCTCTCCAGTATGGTGGTTTTCCTCCCTTGGTCCCTCTGTTTTCATTAAGCAGACAACAGCAATTGCAGAAAAAAATCGTACAGAAGAGGCACCTATCCACCTAGTCTGGTTGCTAAGAAAACCTCAGGAAGAATAACCAGACTTATTCATGAGCCATCAGAAACTTGGATCAAAGCTACTGTGACGTACAAGCTATATAATTCATCTGAGATGCCTTGTGATGGTCATTTAAATACTGTTAGCAGTTTCATCCTCCAGGTCACTAAGACAGAAAGAGAGGTTCAATTCTTGAAGAAAAACATCTCTTTTGGTTGCCACATGTAGCTGACAGAATAGAGACGGCATTACTCCTGTTCCCATATTCCAGTGCATACTCAGCTCCTATAATGAATACAGTGAGCTCAGCCGGTAGACACCTCTTTATGTATATAAGCTGTCCCCAAGGGCATCTCATCCTAAAGACCAATCTATGAAAAGCTCATTTTGTAACTCAATTTTTAGAAGAGTACCAATGCCCTTTTGATGCCAACTCAACCACAGATTAAGCAAACCGTTATTGACTTTCTTGGTGGTTGCTTCAATCTGCAGATTCAGATTTAATGTTAACATTAGTCTGTCCTGATAATATTTAACTATGGAAACAGGAGGAAGCTTCTCCACCTAAGCTAGGTTCAGATAGAATTTCTGATGAGACAATCCCAGTTACTGCAGGAAAAGCAAATTTAATACCAGCTCTCAGGCAAAATAATCTGAGCAGCTCCCACAATTTCTGAACTCAAAATATGTGGAGCGATGAGGGCTTGTTTCACAAGAGTAAGACAGCTTTTAAAAAATCATTTTACTAAGTATGGAAGGAAATATTTCTTTTCCATACAGAGTTCAGTACTTCACAGCTGTCCCCTCAGACTTTGTTGGATATGAGCAGACACTTCAGGAAGTCTAGAATATTCTTCAGTAATGTACAACACTATCCAGAATGCAAGGAATAGGAGTAAATTTTCACATATATTTAGCTAGGTTTTTTTTCCCCCCTTGACAAACGAACAAAGATCCCTCTACCATGACTTTGGAAGTTTCACTGTGATGTTTTCTAGATGTAAGTCCCATTGCAGCACACAAATGCTAAAAGCTGTCATAATGCAGGTTACAACGTTGGAATAGGACTTAACTACTCAAAATAAAAATGTCCTCTCTCGTGCACTGAACAGTAGGAAAAAAACATGATTTAGGCAAAGAAGGTAGGTCACTGCCCCATTGCAAGGCTGTAGGAAAGTCTGGATATATTTTGGCTATGAGGGAGGAGAGTTCATAAAGAAATGAGATTCAACCACGCTGCATACACAGTCTTTTATTTCCAGGTTGACAGCCAAAACAAGTACTAGCAGAAAGCCAGTAATTCTTATCAGTTGTCCCTGTCTTGAATGAAATGTCTTGTCTAATAACTTTTCAATAACCTACATTCTGCAGGACAGTTGAGGGCTTTAATACAGCCGAATGGAACATAAAATCCAGCACCATTTGGTACTAACCAAAAAACCTTCCTGGCAGTCTTAGCAGAAAGATCAGGTGAAATGGACACTGAACTAACCTCTCATTCTTAGTGGTGGTCCCTCCAAGTCAGGGTTTAGGCAAACAGGGACATTGCACAGCCGCTTTCCATGCTGTATCTGCTCTGTGAATAAATACAGAACTATGAATCCAACATCTGTCACCAGCACCACAAGTCTTAAACAGTTAAAAAAAGAGAAAGAAAAATACAACAGCTATTGAAAAAAACAAAGAAAAGAGTTAATTTTTTAAGCATAGAAAAAGGGTGAAGGGAGGGGGAGAGAAAGGTGAAAGAAGTCTACACAGGAAAAAGGACACAGATAACCTAATGTCAAAGAAAGCATTTTAGAAAAGTAAATGTCATTAAACAAGAAAGGAAGTGCTAGCTGTAAAGATTCAAAAAGATAAGGAACATATGAGTCACAAAAAGAGAAAGACAGCATTTAGAAACATCAAGAGACCACAAGTCAGGTATAATTTGCACTGATAGAAGCTAAACACAAAATAATATTGTTTTACAGATAGTAAGCTTGGGAAAAGAGTGGTCTGAAATACGAAATTAGAGACACATGCTACCTACCAATGTAAAAAAAAAAAAAAGCATGCATGAAACAAGCACACACCATATACGTATGTGGGATAAGACTATTTCCTAGCTGTTATATCCAAGTACAATGACTCTTAAAATTGTGGTGTGACATTGAAATGACAAATAGTCACACTGAGCATTTGTGCTGGGGAAAAAAAACCACACAACTGTTTTCTGTCCAAATAATAATTTTACTTTGAAACTAGTGGTTGCAAAAGAGAGTGTGAGATGCGAAGGTTTCCAGAATAGAACATTTTACTTTGTATCTCCATGCTTGGAAGCTTTTAGTTGGAATGAATATTAGAGGGAAAAGTCACAGAGGTTGTGCCAAGTCCACTTGCTTTCTTCATAAGATTAACAAGACAGAGTTCCTAAGTGGTTTCGAGCACTGACTTGTTCCTTTTGAACATAGGCTAACTGCTTCTTGCAGAATGAAAGCAGTAACTTTTTCATCTCTAAATCCCCGCCTAAGAAACTAGATACCAGCTAAGTCTTGTCAATAAACAAACTTACCTGCTGACAGGATGAAAAAAAACCCCATTGTTATCATTGACAAACTTTGACGTTAGAATCATAGAATCATTAGGGTTGGAAAAGCCTTTAAGATCATCGAGTCCAACCGTTAACCTAACACTGCCAAGTCCACCACTAAACCATGTCCCTAAGCACCACATCTACATGTCTCTTAAATACCTCCAGAAATGGTGCGTCAATCACTTCCCTGGGCAGCCTCTTCCAATGCTTAACCTTTACGATTTAAGGATGTCATGCTGGGCATGCTACTCAGAAAGGATAATCCTAAACTATATATCATACCTTTAGCCATTCTTCAGCTACAAGATTTAGTTTGATGGAACTTGATGCTAAAGACTGAATTAAGCAAAAATTTTAACTCAGCTGTCCAGAACTAGTGATGAGACATTCATTCAGCAAGCTAAGTTCCACATAACTTTTAACCATTCCTTTCTCTGGGTGCATCTGATCTGCTGACAAATTCCTAAGCAGCACGATTCTGAAATTTCACTAACATCAAGATGTGCAATAAAATATCTAGCATTTATGATAAAACAGAATGAATTCATTGTTTAGTGACATCTGCTATGAATTTGGTCATAACAGAAAATCTTTTATTGAAGAAAAAAAAAACAAATGAAACACTTGAGTAATGAGGAAATTATGTGCTTAATTCAGTTTTCATTGCTTTGCATTCATTTTAAAGGTAGAAAAAACAGGTCAGTGAGTGACCAGAAACTTCAGGTGTTCTGCATGAACTAGCAGAAACTTCTCTAAACAGAAATAAAACTGGCTAGTATAAGGCACAACTCCTTGGTCTACCAACACCATCATAAACATACATGCAAACAAATGATTCCATGCACTAGGGATGAAATCCTATACCTAGTGAAATCAACAATGATACTTCCATTTCATTCAATGAGGCCAGCAAATAATCCAAGTAATATGCAAAACTGTAGGGACAACGCTGCACCAGAGGGACTGCCTCCCAAATATGTAACTATTCCAATTCATACCAGGTGAGAATCTGGTACTCGTTATGAAGTTTCACTTTAGACTTGAGATTGATTACTTATCTGCACTGGTAGAATAGAAATACTCACTTTTTTAATTGATACAGAAAGTAATTTGTTTAAGAAATAGAAATAAAGAACAACAAATGCAGCTCACCAGTATCCCAAGTGCTGATATTGTGGGGAGCACTAGACTGGTGTTCCAGCTGTCTCTTCATTAGCTGGTTCATTGTCAGAGCTCCCAAAGAGCCTCTTTTCATTTGTCTGAACTGAGCTGCAAGTCAGAAATGCAAAAGGATTTCAGGGGCTCAGACAACATGTAGAACTACTCTTATTTTCTGATCTTAAAAGCCAGCATGAGACAAATACTGAAAGGACAATGACTGCTTGCTCTAAGGATCTTGCTCAAGTCAATATGCACTTTTCACACAACTACATAGGGTACAATTCTGTCCCCAATGACATCAGTCATAAGTGACTTGGATTCAGGATCTCATCCACTGTGTCAACTGTCAGTGCCTTTTGTCTCCAAATATCATGAAAGCTCTTTAAAACACTTGGTATCTGTGAAGTGTAAGATGCTACCCCAAAATTCCCATGCTGACAGGTAATAAATGTATACCTGAATCTCACTCCCATACAATGTACCGAGGAAGGAAACTCGGCCTCCTCCCAGCAAAGTATGGAGGAACTGCTCTGTCCATGCTCACCATAGGAAAACAAATTCATGGACTGTGTATCACCAGCACCCTTCATGGGTGACACACCCTGAACAGGCCTCCGAAATACTGACCACCCAGGCGTAACACCTGCACATTGTTCTGAAGTGTGAAGCCAGTATGACTTTGAAGATGAGTCCCTTTTGTAACTTCACTGACTTTCTTCTTACATGGAGCTATCAACCAACAAGCATTCAACTTTTCCTCATCTGGCTATTTACAGTACTTCTTTAAATGGTGTTACTGTTTGCTTTAAAAGATGTGTCTCACTGGATAATGCTCACACACACACACACACAAAAAACCCAAACACACACAAAAAGAATTGTGGATTTAAAATTTAAGACTTTTCTGCTCATGTATTTTCTTAGTGCTTAAAGGGAGGAAGAAACAGATCACAGAACAACTCCTGACTTTCTTACTTTTTTTGTCCATTCATAAGAAAATTCAGTTTGAACAAGCATAATACGTTTGCTTTGACAGTTGAGTCTGAGCAATGTATTTCCACTACTGAAACCAAAACCACTGTTCACAGTACAAATACAGAGTTTTAAGGCCCTGCTTGAACAGGGCATGTGAGACTGCTGACACTCATTTCCATGTGGGAAAGCTTTTAAAATGTTGCCGTAAGTACATGTTTAAGTGCTTTCCTCAACACGGCCTTAAAGCAAGGGTAACAAAGCAAAATCCTCTCCTAATGATTATTTTCATCTGCAATTACATTAAAAATCATTAAAAAGAGCATTAACATAATATCAGGTAGTTTCGTTTTAAAATTCTAAACAGTAGCCAGCTAAGCTCTGAAAATAAACCCAGCATTGCACATTATTAACTGTGATGAAGAAAGGATAAACCACAACTTTCAGAAAGCTCTGAGGGGTTGAGTGTCTTCTAATCTGGATCTACTCAGTTTCTATCTAGGAGTTTCAAATTCAGAGAAAGGAGAGTACTCCCTAACAAAATATATATAGGCCCTGAGTAATAATAAACACAATGATAACTTCAGTGGGAATCTGCACACTGAAACTATTTTAGTCGGTGAAGTAATTTAAGTTTTCCCTCATTATATCCTTTCAATGCATCAGAGTACATTTAAACTCTATTTTTGGTTCAAGTACAAACTTCTCCAGCATTGCTGCAAAGCAGTTCTTGTATAACTGCATTTCTGGAACTGAACCAGACCAAGAGACCATTCCGTGTTTCACTTTTAAAAGTTATATTGCAGCTGCCTTTCACAGCAAATTAGGAGAATAATAGAATTTCCATCATTTCCAGGGCAAGGATTTTAAATAGATGCTTTATCACTTTATCAAGCATAGAATTTCCTGATGAAAGAACAGCAATTAATGTTAGAACTGACAAGACTGCTTGGAGTGCAGATGACTGTCAAAATATAGAAAATTATCTCTTTGAATTTTCTTAACAGCTTTTGTGATTGTAATTAAAAAATTTCATGCATATTTCACATAATCAGGCTACTGTTGAGCAGGTTTGGATTTCCAGGGTTATTTACCTGATTTCTCAAGGACAGCCAAGATTTCAAATATTGATAAGTTAAGAAAAAAATCTAAAAAACAAAAAACCCAGAGAGCTGCCAGCTTTGAACAGTGTCGGAGCCAGGCTGATTGCTGTGGACTAGCACGTGACTTTCCATGCCTATGACTGCCTAGTGGCATAGGGAGGGAAGTTTTCTTTGATCAGGTTTTCTACAAGAAACCAAACAATCATGAAAAGATCAGTAACCTTCATATAGTAGCTGGTGAGCCTTTCATATGTTAGCTAGTGACCTGGTCAATCATCCCTCCATTGCTGTGGAATTCTCTACTCAAGAAGAGAAGTCCAAAGGCAAAATCTTCCTATCACAGCTAATGATGTATGCTTTCTGTGGCCAGGCACTGGCTGTACAAGTAATGTTATCTGTTTGTGTTACAGTCTTGTGCTCAGAGTCCTGATCAGGGCTTATTATGGAAAGCACTGTAAAGACACATAGTAGAAGGTCAAAATTATTTCAGTCTAATTTGACAAGAGACACAATGGAAGCATTCATGTCCCTTTTTGCAGTTGGAAACTGAGACACGCAGAAAGAGGAAAGGAATATTTACAAAGGAATGTAGGCCCAATATCATATAGATACTATTCCTGATTTCATATATTGGAATTTAGAGGAACACCTAGCACTCACTGAAACCAGAGATAGATAGGTCTTAACTGGCACCTCTTTAGCTGCTTTAGTAAGTGACATCTGTATCATTAGGTGGCCAACAAACATACTCTGATTACGAGATGCACATGACACAAGATGCTTGTGGTAAAACTGGAGAGGAAACCTCCGATTTGGAGTACTCATCTAACATGTCTAAAATAACACCTTCCTTTAACAGGCCAAATACTCCTTCCAATCGAATCAGCAGATGCTGAATTTCAGAAATTAAAATTTAACTTTTCTACAGCAATCTGAAATCGCAGTTCAGCAAGACAGTTGAGCTGATCTATCAGCTCACTGGTATCAAAGCAGGCCATAATTTCCCCTCCCTTTTCAAATAGTTAAGAGTCCTGCCCCATCAACCTTTGGATGTGTTATTTAACATGACCTAGATGGACATGCCATTCTGGGTTTTGTCAGTGTTCTAAGATGCTTCCACCTTCCAATGTTGTCTACACCTGCTCTGTTAAGCCATGTGTCAATGTCTACCTAAACCAAGTCAGTTCACTTTCCATTGAAATGGGTATGGGAGTCTCAGATAAAGAGCTACCGCATTTTAGCGAGCAGCTGAGGAAGTGGCATTTCAAGGCACTTTACAAAAATTGCAAATGATTTTTTTCCTAAGGTACAGCAAGAAATGTACTGAAGACCATAATAACAGCCCTGTGGAGTTCTCATCTGCTTCTGTGCACTGACAGTTGACAATGCTTTCTCTCACTGGAAAATAAACATTCAGCTTTAGTGAAATACTGCTTTTAGCTGCTACCTACTCTAATTCAAGAAAACCACATTTGTCAAATTTGCCATGTCACAACAGAAAATCTTGCAGTAACTAACTGCTAAAATCCTGGTGACCATCAGAGATTTAACAGATCAAATGAATGATATCCAACACAGCTGTACTTCCAAGAGTCAATGAAACTCAGAGGAAGGCATTACTATACATGATACACATCTGACCCACAAATACAGCAACTTAGATTTAATCCTCAAACCAGAGGTAAACTTACTTGATATGGAAGAGTGACTACTTGTCTCCGGGACACCTGCTTCAAGGGTCGGTGCAGATGACGACTCTCTTGGCATTTCCAGTGTTGAAAGTCCTTTGGCAGCAGGATCTGCATGTGAAAATTGTGCTTAAACACTCAGTATTTAGAATCAATAAATATTTTCCATCTGCTTTCTCCCTGGATGCCTTTTTCACATCTTTTCAGTCATCCATTCACAATCTGGCATTCCCAGCAGTTTTAAAAAGATTCAGTGTGTGTGTCCTAAGAATTTTTACAGGAGGCACAGGGATCTACTGCTTAAAGTCACTTTTTAAAGGAGAATTCTATCTATGCTCTTTAGAGCTCAGAAATAATAAATGCACACAGAGTTTGATTTTGATCCCACTCTCAGAGTGATTATCAAAACCACCAACATGGAAATAAGAGAGGTACCACTGATGTAAAGCTAGTTTAAGTGACAGCTTAGCAACTTTTAAAAGCCTTTTCTCCAACATGTTATAGGTTTTCATTCAAATGGCTGCTGATTTAGCAGTTATTCCTAAAGATTCAAAGAGTTTAAGATTCTATCATTAAAAAGAAATTAAGCCATTAAAACTAATGTTTTTATTTTATGATAACTGACACGGTCAAAACAGGAAGAATAAAGCAAAGAAATTTTCAAGTGTTGATGGCTGGTTTCAGCATATGCTATAAAAATGAGTATGTATCTGTGCTGTAAAAAGTCTCAGACAGGAAACTCTGTAGCCCAGCATCGTGCACTTGAAGAAACAACCCATTTGGATATTTAATTCAGAGATCAGTTTTATCAGAAGCCCTTCTAAAACATATTGAAGTGTAATAGGCTGAAAAAACTTGGATAAGACTTTGAAATTGTCATCAGCCCATTATGATTGCGATATTAAGCCTACAGAAATGAATTACAACACGTGTTCTCAAATAAACTAATCAATAAGGCTAAACACAGCAAAACAGAACATAAGACATACATTAAACTACCCAAGTCACTAAATTACCTAGTTATCTGAATTGCTTGTATCAATCTCTAATGTAAGTGAGCACTTAATGAGTCATTGTGAATGTTTTGTTCTCCCCTTGGATGACATACTTAGATGCATGCAGCCAAATGATCATCATATATGCTTTAATCCTAAATTCCTCATGGTGTTTCAGAACTGAGACAGCCCTTCCAAGCAGTTTCAAGGATGACAGTGTTAGTTACTGCATGAAAACTGACCCTTACTAATAGTCAAAAAAGCATTCGAGTCTAATTGCACAATTGTTTCATCACCATCCTTCTCTAAGAACTTATGTGAAAGGTTCAAAAGCACTTGTCTCTCTTTTGTTTTTACAAAACTTAAGCGGTTCTTCAGCTTACTGGAACCAAAAATGGGATGATAGGCCTGAAACATAAAGGGAACAGCATAACTATGATCACACTGAATGATTTCTCCTTGTAAAAGTGGAGTATCATAACAGGAAATTATACTATGGTTGCCTCTGAAGCAATTAAGAAAGAAGAGGTCAGGAATGCATAAATATTCCCCATCACTTCACTGACAACAAAGAACCAAGGCCTGAAGGATTCTTTCCTTTTTTTAAACTAGTATGTTAAAAAAGGACTGGTAAAATTCTAATAACTGAAAAATTCTGAAAAAAAAAAAACAAAACAAAAACAAAAACAGCCACAGAAGTAAAGAGGCAGCAGCATATGGTTTTTAAAACTGTTTGACACATCCAACTGTTTTCTCCACCTGAAAAAACTTAGTAACAAAACCCCGTGTTGAAATGACCTGAAAAAACTTGGGATACACAGAAATACTGTATGGCTTTCCCCACACTTGAACTTTAAATCTTTAACACAAGCCATGTAAACTTTGTAGATACCCAATACAAAGAAGGCTACAAAAAGTCTTTAGTGTATAAAAACAAAGTATGTATGTATGTCTGATCCTAAGTGCAAACTGTGGTTAATTCCAAGAGCTCTTAGTTCTGAAGTCTACAGCCTGCTCAGCTTCACACTTCGTGATTCAGTTTGCTTTCCACTGCCTTATGCTTGCAGAAGAAATAAAGGCCAAAAATCACTACGCACAAAAAAGAATCAGTGTAGCATGGACTAGATTAGCAGGATAAAAGGCACAGAAGTATGTCAATTTTTCTGACTCCCCGCATAAAGAGGCCACAGAGTTTCACTCCCTAACTTGGATATCAGAACCTATATTTTTGTCACTGAGCTCCACTTCCTTTTCAAATGGGCCCTCACACATGCACAATACCTGTATGGTTAGTACATTTCTTGTGAGAAACAGACACCTGAAAGCTTTCAGCTAGCTCAGACCACATCAGATGTGATACATACACATCTCTCCTTACACAGGTCTGTTACTAAAACCTTCATACAGTAATAAGCCTTTTGATTGGGTCAGTGATTGAGCTCACCTGTCTCCTTTTGCTCTCCCAACTTGTCAAGGATGTTAAAGGAAATGTCCAGGTATTCCCTCTGAATAGCACTCACAGCAATCTTCCTCTGCTTCCTCTGGCGAGGAACAATCTGAATCTTAAATTCTGACTCCTCAGTCTCCTCTTCTTGTTTCTGCTCCGTGTTTTGTTCAGTGTCAGACTCTACGTTGGTATCAAGTTTATCACTTTCTGTTTGGTTTTCAGAATCTTCAGGGACTTTAATAAGGACTGTCTTTACATTTGGGCTTGGAATTGATCCACTAGGTCTAACTTCCTCCATGCTAAGCTCGGAGTTATCATCAAGGGACATTTCTGGAAGGGCAAATGACTTCTGCAGCAGGTCCCTTTTCTGTTTCAGTGTTAGTGGGTTCCCACAGGGCATGTCCTGAAGTTCTGGTTTAACTAACTCTGAAGAGTCCTTTTGATCTTTGGGAGAAGTGGAAAGCATCTCCTCTATTCCTGCTTAAGCATTGTTGCTTGTATCCTTAGAACTGAAGTCTTTGGAGCAATCTTCAATGCTGAACTGGACTAGCGGAGTTGTGCTGAGGCTGAGTGCAGAGACATTGATAGGAGTTGAGGGAGACGATGCAGCAGTTTTGCCAGAGACCTCATCATTCAGCTGGTTTGTTGTTTCTTCTTCATCGCTCTCCACTATTCTAAGGGGAGGAAGTGGTTCAAAGACTAAAGAATCACTGTCTGAAGTGGAGAGTACTGAATGCTTTTCAGGACCCGATGTTGAGTCAGAGGACAAATCTATCAAGTCTAAATCTTCCTTGGGACCAGCAGGTTTAACTGGAGAGTCCACTTTCACTTCATAGGTTTCCATGCAGTTTAGCCTAACTTCTGGTATGACAGGTCTTCTTGTTTCCTGGAAACTCTCTGTACGGGGAAGATTTTCTTGTGCTTCTATATTTTCAGCTTTAGTAGAAGAATTCTGCCGAGATCGTCCATAATCACTCTGCCTGTGTATGGCGTAAGCAGCAGGGACAGATGGTTTTTCTAAGTCACATCGGTCTATGCAGGACTTCCTGCGATGTTCATCTAATGAAAACAACAGGGAGTCTGCATTCCCTATATCAAGAGATTTTTGTTTTAGAGAGCGCAGTTTTTTTTTCTGAATGCTTTCTTCTCTCACACAGCGTAGAATACTGTCTTGTAAGGCCCCCGTCTCTCTATATTCAGCCAGCTCTATTTCACCTGATTAAAACAGAAAGAGCTAATACTACCTCAATTGGAGACTTCTGGCACATATCTTCATCTTTATCTCACAATTCAATGCGACTGGCATTTCAAATACAAACCCAGTATTAGTCAAAATTGTCTAGATTTTGTTTTAACCTCAGAGCCACATTACATAGATTTTTTACAATTAACAACAACAAAAAAACCTACTATTTGGATAATAGAGTTTATCTAAATACTATCCAAATTCTACTCATCCTGGACAGATGTACCCTGAAGATAGACTGTTTAACTTTATGCATTGAAAAGAAGATGGCACAGGCAAGTAATTTCTACAGACACTTGGGATGGCTGCATTAGGCATGATGGATGAAAGAAGAAATCAGCTACACAGACAACTCTGAAGAGGTTTCAAAATAATTTTGGACTACAGCATTGGGGACATCATTTGGACATCAGCGTATATTAGAGTACACCTACATGTTATTTAACTGCAGCAAAGTGGGCTTAAAATGGATCCTTCTAATTCAAGAAGCAAGGGTAACAATAGCAGTGAGGATGTGGCAGCACGAGCCTGAGATCAGACAGTGTTCAGAGAATTTTGCCTCCCAGTGATCCTAGACCCCAGGAGAGTCTAGCAACTACCACACCACACAGCCATACCTCCCCATCCTAGGTAGGAGTAAAGTAAGCACAGTTATACTTGCTGGTATTACCACTGTATTGGTATTTTACTATGTGAACATACTCATTGAGAACATTGTAAAAGATTATGACTGTTGTTATTATGAATGACATTGTCACATAAAACAGAATATTCCTGATCATTATTATCCCCATATTTCAAAATGGGCCACATATGAATCACCATGCAAAAAAAGCAGTGAGAAAAGTTAAAGTAGATCTTTGCTCTAGTCAGAATAATCATCCCCCCATGCAAACACCTCAAAGAAAAAAAGGCAGATGGATGGTGGTGGAAATCTCTTCAATTTTTTTAGAGTATTCATTTCAGAAATCTAAATTTGAAAACAAAATCCTTCCTATTTTTTGAAACCACCAAATGACCCTTTTTACCAATGGAAAACCATTGTTGCAGCAGCAACAACAAATTTGCTTACCTTAGAGTCCCACCTCATCAAAAAAATCAAATTCTGGGAAAAAATAAATTTGAGTAAAAATCTTCAGCCCAATGGTGGAAGAAAATTGCAATAAATCTTCTTAAATATTTTTACAATCAGGAGAACTTAAAGTTTCAGAAAACAACTGCAAATATTTATACTTTGGAGTGCCTACTGTCAGATTCCTGTAAGAGACTTTTTAGAGAAATAAGGAGTACTTGCTCTCAAAAGTCAGACAGAGTGTTTTGTGTAATTTTGTGTTCAAATTAGGCAGTGCAACAAACTCTACAAAGAAAGGCGGTAGCTTGAAACTAAGAGTAGGAAATTGTATATCTGCATTAGTTTATACCAACAAAACAATTCATACTTCTCTGAGCATTCATCTCAACTGGTTGGTATTTCACCATTTTGCTGCCCCCAATTCTTTTCAGTCTTGCAAAGAAAGTTTGAGATTCTTTATTGCAAGGTCCAGTTGGTGTATCATGAATATCAGATTCATCAAAAACACTGTCTTCCTCTGCTGGAGAAAGAAAAAACTTTATTACTCTTAAGAGAGTGCAATTCCTTGAATGAAAAGCTGTCTATGTAACAAAACCTCAGTTACTTTCAGTTAAACTTGAATTGGAAAATGAAGAACCATCTGAAGTTTGCAAAAAAATTTATATCCCAATTATAACTTTGCCGTTCTTGTCACATCTTGAATTAAGGTCAGAAAGGACAGAGATAAATCAAAAATGGATTATAATGCAACAAAAGTTACCAAAAGCTTTTACCATTCTAAACTGATCTTTTCTAGTGATAATAATACAGATTCTTTAGATGGAAGAAATACAATAGATTTGAACAATGACTGGAGTAAATAACTTCTATAGTGCTCAGTGAGAAATGATAAATTGAAGAAGATCGAAATTAGTACAAGAATTGCAAGGTCAGTAATAAACCAGCAAAATAGGAAAGTGAAAAAGGAAGAAATGGATAATCTTGGGCAGCTGGTAATAGTAATAGAGTAAGATCTAAGAGTACAAATTATGAAATTATTGATCTAAATAGTAATAGTAAAACATTATGCTTTCATTTGAGACCTGCTTCTTCTTCCCCTTGGCAACAAATGTTTCTTCTCACAAGATTTATCATCAGCTCTACAACAGTCTCTACACTTGCCATGATCCCCAGAGAGTTTGGCAGAAAAATTAGGAAAAAGGTTCAATAGTGGGAAAATCCATCTTTAGCATACAGATTCTTGCTGCCTGACAATGAAATCCTCATCTGTTCATCCTCTAAACACCACTTTTGATGATGACAGCAGCACACACATTACCTGACCAGAGACTAAACAAGCCTCTTTAGAAAATGCAGGAAAGGCTTCAACTTTCCAAGTCCCTATGGAATTACATTGGCTACTTCTTGCAGGTGAAACAAAACTTTTCTACATCCTCTTTTTCCGCAGCACTTCAAAGGAGAATCAGCCCTACGATTAAGTCAGCATTTAGAGAGTAAAATTTGCCCATTTATGGTCCTTTACCTCTGAGCAGCCCAAAGCCCTTCACTACAGCTTTGGAAAGCAAGTAAATATTATTCTCCTTACTTTAAACATAGGGAAATGATGAAGTGAGACACAAGGCCACCCAGGGAATCAATGTTGGATGTGGGATTGGAACACCAAGTTTTCTAAACCTAACTTGGCACTTACTGTGAACAACAAGCTGGGTACTTAGCCACCTCACTTTGTCTTAGAAATCAATCCAGAAACCAAATCTATTTTATAAATGTATTATTACTACCCTCAATATTATTAAGTGATTACGAATTAAGTCATTTACTCAGCTCAAAACAAGACAAATTCATAGTAAGTCCACAGTTATCTGAACCCTCTTAGCCTTCCTCTAGCAATACAGAATGTCCAAGTGAGTGAGAATATGCAATACATTGTTTACATCTATTTTAAGGTTGCTTTAATTTGCTGGAGCCGACTAATAGGGTGTTCAGGTAAACAAAATTTTGTGTCCTTGTTCTGCTGGATATCTTTTCATGAGCAACAAGCAGCAAAAGAGGCAAAGGTACCGACATGCTTAAAAAGTGTTTCTTGTATTTTTCTTTGGAAGAAGAGTTTGCTGCACACTAGGAAGATTGTTTGAGAAGGTGGATGTAAATAGCAAATAAGCAGCTAAAAGGCAAAACAGCTGAAAGGCACCTACAGATTAACATCAAAGAATCTGTTAAACTTTGATCATAAACAGTTATCACATAATAAACTTCACAACTGTAAGGACTAAAAGTCATTTCAAGCCCCAGCTTTCCACCAGTTTACACCATTACCGTACCTCTGCTACAGCTAGCAAGCACAGAGTTAATAATTGGATGCAGACTCTAAGGGTTGAACCGTTCTCTTCCACCTTTAGACATCCACATCATATACGTCTGCATGCAAGCTAGTCAACTGCAGCTCCTTTTACAGAGAAAGGCAACTATAGACTGAATTCATAATTTTCTCTTTTCAACATCAAATATTTGCAACTATGCCATGTTATTATAAAGTATAATCAGAACTCAGTGTCAGGCTGGTTGCGCACCTTGTGTGCAGGCATGATCGCTTATATTGTCATAGAAAAGGCCAAGGACTATCCAGGCATGGTGACTGAACTACTAAGTCTAAGGTACACTCCCTCCAAGAGATGAAAGACTGCTGTGCTATGCTTATCCTACAGAGAAATTGTGTTTCTTTTACTATAGATGGCTATAGCTGGTCAGTTAAGTCACACCTTGCACTTAATCCTGAGTATTATGTTCTAAAATTCAAACCATGTTTACCCATTTCTACAACATCTGCAAGATGTAATGAATTAAATCAATGACTATCATATAAATGAGAGTGTTAAAAGTACCTTTTTCCTTTTCACTGTATCGGCTTATGTTACTGTTGTCACTATACAAAGGACCAGCAGTTGCATGGGGCTTGCAGCTGTGATATTGAGCATTGAGGGTATTGACTGTGATGTGGATTAGGTGAAGTACAATCTTGCTGATTTCACAGTCTCTGTAGGGGTACTGTTTAGTGAAAGAGAAAAACTTCAACTTAAAAATCAACTTTTCTCCTTGGATAAAGATTTAGGCAGTAAAATAGAAAAATCACAAAAATATTGTCAGCTGGATGCCCTTTGCCTTCCTTTGATCATACATTTCTAAACTCATCATAAGAAGCAGTACTGTTTTCAGCTTCGTACTCAGAATTATTTTTTAAAAATTAAATATTACTAACAGGGATTTTTTAATATATTGTTTTCCTGACTTTTGTATTACAAAAGGTCTCTCATCAGAACTGTTCTCCAAATACTCTATTTCAATCAGCACATTATCATTCATTTCTAGTGTCTCCACTTCCTTTTATGCCCTATAGACCTGCTAGAAATTTGTTAAGCATATCAAAAGTATTCACAGCTTAATTTTAGTTCATAAACACATTATATTTTAACAACACTTCCTAAAAAGCATCAGTCAACTAAAGAATACAAGCTGTGAAGCTGACTCCCCCATTTAAAGTTACCAATTTTTTTAAAACTAATTCTAAGTAATTCAAAATACTCTTCACTGGAACTTAGCATCTTCCTATTTTCAAATCTATATTTTTCTTTCTCGTGCAACCATGTGAAAGACAATATAGACAGCAAAAGTCATAGGTCAGTAGCACAGATGAAAACCTAACTACTCCAGATGTTGAAATTAAATGCAGTGAGTAAGCAAATCAGTGTTCTTTACAGTTCCTTTCACTTGCAGTACAGTTAGGTGTTCCCTATAATAAATTTCAAATTCAAGTGTAAATTTTAATGTAGACAGCATCTTTTTAAGACCACTCACCTTATAGAGAATGACAAGCAAAGCCTTTAACCAGATCTGCCGAATGTGAGGTTTGAGGGACCACAGGGAGCAGCGAGGAGGCTGCTGAAAGTAATGCCTTAGTTGAGGACAAGTGCAATATTTCAACACCTGAACCACCAAGGGAAGAAGATGTTTTCCCAGGCTGATGTTATAGTCCATCACCTGAAAAGAATATTAGGACAGGAGTCAGCTCACCCAAATCAAAACCACTGATGTTGAAAAGCAAAATAACTAATACAGTTGAGGTATTAGTTAAGTGAAAAGAAACAGATGTTTATAAAGAAGTCTCACTATCAGTTAGAAACTTTCTGCCAGCTTGTCACCTTCTCATTTTAGCTAAATAGGTAAAATGAAAACAAAAGAAGATGTGTTCTGAAAGCCTTTCATTCTGCACAGTCTAAATTTTAACATACATTGGCAAGTTCATAAAATATATTCTGCTGGGATAGCCTTGTATTATAGCACAAGTTGACCATGCTTCAATAGACAAAAGCATATTAGGTATATCGCATGTTTAACAGATAGGATGCAATTATGGGTTTGGGGGGTGGTGGTGTGTATTTTGGTTATTTGGGGTTTTTGTATTAACACTGTATTGCCAGTTTTCATTATTTTCTCATCAGGCTTGCAACATTAGCCATTGGGGGTTTTTTTAAGCCCCATGTTCTAGAATCAGGTAATGAGACAAGAATCCCACTCTTCACTGTAGTAAAGGTAAAGGTAAGAGTGTGCCTGCAATGTTATGCACAAAGTTTAAGTGTGCAAATCCTAAAAGATCCAAGAATAAAGCTAATGAAAAATACCTTCCTCTAAATAAAATGCTCAACAATTTTAAGTGGTAGTGTTGCTGCAGACAGGTTGCTATTATTACTGCTAGTCATAAGCCTTGCCTCCATCATGACCCTTGAAGATCATCGTGCTATTTGGTGCCTATCCTAGAGGTTTGAATCCTGATGGTTAGGTGCAGTGTGGCCATATATTCCCACTACCCTGACACATTTGTGTTTTCAATTGAAACTGCATTGCTATTTTTCATTATCTTCCCATCAGTCTTGCAACATTAGCTATTTAAAGCCGTATGTCCTGAAATCAGCAGCTAAACCAAATCATAAGAAGGATCCACAAATCCCTTGTCTCTGACATTGATTTTACTAGTTGACACCCAGGAAGGTATAACAGCAGGTCAAGCAAACTCTAGCACAACCTCCAAGATATAACATGACCCTGCAGCTTCACTGGACTTAGTGCTCCTTATCAGGAACCCTGTACATCTAAAGAGACACAAATATCGGTTTCATCCACATCATCCATTTTCTTCAGGTCTATATTTATTTCTTCGCTTTTGTTTTTATTAGAACAAGGGGATGAGCCTAATTTACAAACACAGAATTCATCTCTCAAGTTCCCTCCTGAACAAGCTGACTAGCAGTTTTTCCCTGTAAAATTCTCTAGTTTGACATGCGGCTATCTCAAATTTTTGTGCTGCATGCATAGAGCTAAACAGATGAATCTCATGTCTATCCATGTAGGGTTAGCCTGTCAAACAGATGATACATTATCACCAAATATGGTCCTATCCTGCAACGCCTTGTCCCCTCAGGGTGTAATACAGTTGTATGCCAAGGTTAGGAAAAACTTATCTGTACAAGGAAGACAGAGCCCTCCCTTAACACAGCACATACTGTAATGCAGACATCTATTAATCTAAGACCCATTTTTTACATTATCACAGGAAGTTCTGGAATAAGTGATGTTGCAAATGCTGAGCAGATCTCAGCCTGGGATGCTGAGCAGAGCCCAGCACTGCTGGCTTTCCCACTCCGACAGGCTTGTACAACATTGCCATCATGTGGGGCAATACCACAATGACTGCAAACACCAAAACTTGGCCACCTCTGCTGCTAGAGACAGAAAAAAGCATTTTATGCTTTCAAGAATTCAAAATACCCTGATTCTATGATGCAAAATACTAATAGACATTTGATTTTTACTTTTTTTCCTTGAACTGACCATTCCAACCAAACTTGGAATTAAAATCAAGAAACTGACAAATCAGCCCAATCCCAACCTTTATGGAGCTGATTGGGGAAAGCAAGTATTTATGACTAGGGGAGGAAGTGTAACTGAAATGTGTCTCCTAAGATTTCCATACTGAGTTTTCACTCAGTAAATGTATCTTCGGATTGCAAATAACGTTTCTCTTGCAGCAAAGGCAATTCCCAACACAAAGCAGCCCTCCAGCTAAGAAAACAAATCCCTCTGAAATATAAAGTTTTGATGTCTGCTACATGGACAAAAATCCTGGCCTACTGAAGTTCTCAAACTCCATTTGATGTCAGGGAAGCAAGGATTCAACTATGTAGCTTTGCAAACAGAAATGGTGAATTTGGCTATCATGAAATATTTCAAAGGCAGAAGAAGAATGGCAGGGGATGATATTTAGAGTTGCAGTAGGTAGTACTGCTGAAAATCAGGTCAATTATGATTACTGAAGTTTGGGAATCCAAACTTGGAAAACATGGAGAAGAACGTGGAAGATACTGCCCTGTGATCTAAACTGTCACTTCCAGACTCTCAGTACAACAGTAACAGGCCTGAATCTCCTTTTACGTGCTTCAGCTTAAAACTGTACAAATGAAAGATGATTAACACATAGTAATGCCACTCTGAAACAATGGATCAGGATGCCTTTGCAGCTATCCAGTTTGCATTAACACCTTCTATTTTGCTTGCTGAAGCATGGATGCCTGACTTCTCCATGACTATGAAAGTTTATCCAAGTATCTACATTACAATTGACTTGGAAAAATCACTGATCCCTATGTATGAACCAGAAAATCCTGATAAAAATTGCAGATACAAAAGAGGCCAGGATAGCTTTGAGCAATGTTTGAAGGTTACAGTGGACATTTTAAGAGCTGGGGCAGGGGGAGATATGAAATTACAGCCCTCTCTCCTCTAAGTTAATCCTTTATGAGAGACTGTGATAAGGAAAAAGTGTGGAAGTGATGATGATGCTTCATTGCAAAAAATAAGAATACTCTGCAAGTGTGAAATCTTTTTCAGCCTAGCGTTGCCAACTTCTCTGAGAATTGACTGAGCCTTTGAAGATCCTTGTGAGTTAGGCAATTACGGTCCTCCTTACAAGATGGAGAAAGAAGGCACAAGGCACAAGGCAAGAATGTGCTCAGTCATTTATCATAGCAATACAGGCAGAAGTTTGTCATGGTGGCATCACTCCCTAGGAAAGGGAGAACAGAAAGTCCTGCTGTACTCTGAGGAAGAAGGAGAATGAGTCTCCTGCAAAGTGAAGAATGTTGAAGACTTTACAGATCATTCACATAGGGAAACAAGAAAGAGCACATGGGTCCCAGGTCTCCTGAATGGGAAAGGAGGAAATGACACATGAGAAAAGTAAGGCATTCAAACACTAGGTAAAGAGGGCAAAGAGGTTTGGAGCAGTCTCTAATTTTTCATACAGTGGTACTATTTGCGTGCCTCCACGCGCACAAAACTTATCTCTATGCCAATGATGCAGCAAGTTTAGAGTATTAGTAGAAAGTTATAAATTAGCATACTTCAGTGCAACTATTTACTTTTTAACTGCAAAGCAAAAACCTACAGCAAGCACTTGATTAGGCTACATGGAGTCTTCTGAGAGTAAAGAAAAAGCAGCCATCCTTGTTCCCAAATTCTTCCACCAACTGAAGAGGTGTTAAGAAGCTTTAAGTAGGATTACCACACTAAGCCATTATTTTGGTACAACGAAGGCTCTGCTACCACCATTTCAACAACAAGCAATGAGAAATAGCTGCAAAAAGTAGTAAGTTCCTTCACCTACTTGTGCTATTCCAGCAATAAAGGCATTAAAGCAGGTCGAAACACGCATTTTTTGTGGTGCAATCATGAAGCATCCTTCCTGCTTCTGCTGATCATAACCAAGCAGGACGTACAGATGGCGCTTGACTGTGTTGAAAGCTTTAGCGCTGCTGATGTCTGACTCAGCGCTGCTTTCATCCTTTGCCATGAACTTCATTAGCACAGTAATGAGCTGGTGGACAGTCTGGTGATCAATCCCAGCATCCTCTGGCAGCAGGTCTTTTATTGTATTATCATTCTCTGGGGACGGTTGTCCTATTGGCAGAATAGAGACATTGGTATCACACACTGGATAAGACTGTAAACAGAGTACAAAATACACTAGAATTATTTTCCAGAGTTCAATCCTCTGTTTCTGCCCAAATACACATGGTGAAGCCACAGGAGACAGGCATTCTCCCCAAGGAGGTGGTAGAGTCACCATCCCTGGAGGTGTTCAAAAAACGTTTAGATGTGGCGCTTCAAGACATGGTTTAGTGGGTTTAGTGGGCATGGTGGCATCGGGTATACCGTTGGACTTGATGAACTTTGAGGTCTCTTCCAACCACAATGATTCTATGATTCTATGCATTTCTGAGTGCATCGTTCTTCTGTTGCCTCAGGCTCCACAGCACAGTAACACCTACTGCGTACAACTGACCTCCATTTGTCAGCTTTCCCATGTTTAACAGAGCTGCTTAACTTTCCATCCCAGTGCATTTCTGCCAAAGTGAGTGTTGTTATTCCTTCACATCTCTGCATTAAAGGAGAACCAAATCCCACTGCCATCAAATTCTCATCTCGCATAGTTTTCAGTCTTTCCTCACCAAACGTTAGTGAACATTGGTGGAGGATGTACAAAATGGCAAAGGTAGAAGATGGAGAAAATTCTACCAAATAATGATTAAAAAAAGAATGAAGATTTCCCCTTTTAGTATTGAGTCCATATTTCTCTCAAATAACTTGGGCAAAACGTAGGCACTATAATTTATTATGTTTTGGGACACTATGTATTCTGTCAGAACTTTGATGACTTCTTCCCAGAGAAGAAGCCTAAGACTTGGTTTATAAACACTGAATGGAAATAATCAATCAGTAATACTTTGCACGGGAATACGATCATGTGAAATATGAGAGACTACTTACAAAGCACAGGGAAGCCTGGGTGCTGGCTATCGCTATCCAAGCAAAACACACACTGCAAACAACAGTTGCCAACTGGGCAAGTATTTTCATTTTCATACTCCAATTTTTTTGAAAATATAGTATTTCCAGTTACTTTTAAGATCATTTATCATTACCAGAAATCTCTGGTAATTGCCTTCCAAGTCACCCTCTTTCATTTCACCCTATGTGTAAGGCCTTTTTTTAGTGCTTAGCAGTTCCTGAAGATCTACATTATACTAACACTAGCAATTGAATTCATGAAAAGTAGAAGCTATTTTACACATCAGCATATCAGATTCTTTTTATGAAATAATTCTGAATAAATGCACAGCTAAATATTATTCTACATATTCTATTTTAAAACAGTAATTTAAATTAAAATTAAATGTTTCTGTATAAATAAAACACATTATATATGCATTATATGCAAAATAAATAAAAATTATTTATACTAGGATAATCAAAAAAGGGAACTGAAAATATTATTTTGACAGCATCAAAATGGGTTGATACTTAAAAATTAAGTTTTTATTACACCATTAATTTTAGTTTGTTCATTAAACACTATAACCATTAACAATTAAAATTAATTGTTACTAAAATGTATTCTGGTGTATTTTCTGATCCATCGTTAAAAACCTGTCTAACAGCAAATAATTCAGATAAAGCAAGCTGGTATGAAGCAGAATTATAAAACAATCTACCTGTTTTCATTTCAAGAATAAATCCTTTCAACTATTGGACATAGTCCTTACTTTTGCAAGAACAGTTTAAGCTGAAGTTTACAGGGCAGACCCTATAAGCCAGATTAGCTCAAAGGATAATCTTAAAATTGGTCCTGCATGTCTGTGTTAGGGTTACTAGCCAGCAACTAATATTCACTTAGTCTGTTAGTTACTCACATGCCTTAGGGTCTATGTAAATTCATAGCTATATATTTATAGCAAATGCTAAAAATTATTTTAGTATTCTAATTTACCCGTATTCTCAATGTAATATGCTATTCTGACAAAGGTACAACTGCCTCTGTCTTAGATTCTTCACCAGCAAAACTGCAGTGCCCGTAATTTTTTTAAACAATTTTAAAATTTTTTACGTTTTATTGGTGTGTGAGCAAAGGGTTTTGTTTAATTGAGTGTTTTGCTGAGCATAGGAGAAGGTTGCTATTCCTATGGCAGGTGAAAATGAAAACTAGGGGAAGGAATTTTCAGAATCACTTCTGTTAGGAATAACTTTCCTTTACTGGTCTTATTTTTGTAAAAAAGAAATCATGAACTTCATATTATACAACATTTTTTATCTCAAGCAGTTTTCACTCAGATTTTTTACTTACAGAAACCTTCCTTCAAAATGAAAAATCTCTATCCAAACTTTTGCTGGACTGAGATTTGCAGATGCAAAAAGAAAACAATAAATTCTGAAATAATTAGAAGCAGAAATACAGCAAGTACCATTTTCAGAAGCACATTAAGAATGTATATAGAAAATAACTTTAGCTTTGTGGACATCAACTGAGAAATAACCTTTCCACATCATATAGTTGGATTAAAATTTTCCACGAAATTGTATCAAAAAGACACCATTTTCATAAAGATGATATTAAGACTGTTTTCTTCAGCCTTACTTATTTTCACCTCTGTTACATGTTGTGAGATTTTCAATAAACCAGAGGAGATAAGATGAAATGAGTCAAAGGATCGTGGGGCTCTAAATAAATCCCAGTTCTCCAAATAGAAGTCAATGAGTAATTAATCTGAAAAGGTTAATCTATTTTACTTTCACTTGCTGAACAACGTAATTTAGAAGCTCAGTGATAAAATGCTCGATTTTGCCAGTATTTCATAATATTAACACTAGTTCACAGACACTTCCCAGGACTTTTCCTGACATTGTACTTTCTGGAAATACTACTACACTTTCCAAAGCAGTAAAATCTCATTTCTCATACTTTACCCTCACTGCAAACTATACAGCAAGACACAATGAACAGAGCTTCACCCTTAGTTTGTCATAGCTGTACTAAGGATTGAGTCTAGGCAATGTCAGTCACCTCCTGTTTTTACTTCTAATGCAGAAACCTGCAATGAACCAGCAATGGAGAACTGCTTTGTTTAAAACTACAAAAACTCTGCAATCCAGTTTAGTCAATAGACCATCAGAGTCCAGAAAACCTTCTGCTGCTATCTGAAATGGGTCTTTATATCTAGCTTGAACTAAACTTTCACTTCATTAAAATTATATCATGTTTCATTCCAGTTGTGATCCCTGTGCCTATCAGTGAAACTCTCTAAGTGATTGTCCAGGGCATTGTCGAGGATACATGATCCCAGTGTGTAATCCATACAGAACACATATTGAATTCAGCTTGCATTTGGATTGTGCAAGGATTACAGTTCTAGATCTAGAAAGAACAGATGAGCATGAGGTTCATTCAAGTGGTATGTATGTGATATGTATAAAATAAATGTTTTTCTACAACAGATGTACAGCCTATGTTTAGGAGTTGGTTAGTTCCTTAGACAAATTAGATATGCTCAGTAGTGCCAATGCAAAGTATTAAAAACTACAAGTGAAAGCTTAAAAAAAAATATTTTACAAAAAAATAAGATTTTAGAAAGAGATAATAAATATTGGGCAGGAGGAGAGGGACAGTCATTTGCCTCCTAGTTTCCAAAGCATCTGTGATAATTTTGAATCATATTATCAGACTTTTCTTCATATCAGTGGTTACTAGCTACATGCAACTTTTTATATGTATATTTTTAGTGGAAACTTAATTTGAAGCTTAGGTGATTAATTACCTGAGCCTGGAAACTGAAGCTCTGAAATACCAAAATAC